TAGAGGTCCTATTGGAAGGAAGAGACATATGGACTGGCTTGGGGGAGAGAGTGGACAGGCAGCGAGAATCAGCAAAGGCCTGGACACAACTGCCTTAGTCAAGGTTCCCACAAATCCTTAAGTAACTTTTATTAGAACTTGTGATGAACCCAACTCTTGGGTTGCCTTTGTCTAGATGGAGTTCACTAAATGAGAATCAGGTGAACCCACGGGCCACAAGGAGTGGAACACAATGGGATTAGCCAGTGGTACACGGTCCAGAACCTTTCATCATTGTGTAGTTCTCTTCCACTTGTGAGTGTTGGCTGACTGAAGTTTTCAGCCTCCCTCTTGGTTGGAGATTTCCCCTCTACTAAAGAAGAGCCATGGCCCTGGGAAGGCTGCTCCGTCCATGGAGAATAGACCAATAGCCAAAGACCAATGGGCATAGGAATAGAAAAGTCTGTCCATTCGTCCACAGAGGGACCAGTCCATGAAGAAATTAGTGTTTCAAAGTTGCCACAGATAGAAACACAGAGTTCCCCAGCAGACACTGTGTGTGCTTTGGTCTTCTCCGTTCTACTCTGCTTGCTCTCCTTCTCCTGAGAGCTCCTGTTCAATAAGTCATTCAAACAAGAATTCTTGACTTTGGCTCTGCTTCTAAGTCTATGCAAGACACACAGCATATGAAAAAAAATCTGTGAAAGAATGCATCCTAATCACAGGCCAAAGGTTCTCACAACTGTGATTTCATAATATGAGCTCAGAAAACTGTTTAGTAAATCACAACACTCGAGAGTAAACGTCATAAGAGAGTCACTGTATAATAAAACTCTCCTCCTGAAGAGGCCTAAATGGCTAATTTACTTCAAAAAAATAAATTAGAAAATTATATAAGTAGAAACCAGAAAATAACAATGAAAAAAAGACATTAAATTGCAAGCAAATTCTCAGGAAAAAAAATAGAATTTTTAGAGGCACAGAATGAATGAAACTAAAGCCCATCTGTGTATTAAAGAGCAGGTCAGGCCAAAGGGAATACAAAAATTATGTCATAGAAAGATCTGAATAAGGATCCTGAAAAGTAGAAATATAAAACAGAAACTGAATTACACAGAGACCAGTGTGAGAAAGCTGTCAAACATGTAGTTCCTGACTAGAATTCTAACTTGCTGGAAGAAAAGACAGCGTCTATTTTTTGAAGTCCATGAGCAGTACCAACCCATCAGCCAATCAAATCCTCATAGTAAAGAAATTTACTACGTGGTCGACAATATGACTCTAAGAACAGGATTTCCCATGTCTGAATCCCACTGGCAACATTTACTGATTAGCTTCTGATCCATGAAAGTGGTTATAAGGTGGTACCTGTCTCATCAATTGTTATGAAGATTAAATGGGTTGGCACCTAGAATGTTCTTTAATGCTGCCAGGTTTCTAATATATATCTTTATTATTTTTATCTCATGTAGTCATCGAAATGTCATGAATCTGGGACTGGAGAGATGGCTCAGCAATTCAAAGCACTGGTTGCTCTTGCAGAGGACCTGGGACCAGTTCCCAGCACCCATGTGGTAGCTAACAACCATCCATAACTCCAGTTCCAGAGAATCTAATGCCTCTTCTGACCTCCGTGGGCATGACATGGATGCACTTACATACATACAGGCAACACACTCATACACATATAATAAATACTGTTTTTTAGAAAGATGTTATGAACCAGACTAGTTTCTTATTTCACTATAATAACAGTAAGTGAATCAGGCTTATTTGCCTAAGCCTCACCAGGCCAAATGTCCTACATGGCAGGGCAACACTTTGTAGGAGAGTGACAGAAAACAAGAGACTGTTCCTTTATAACACTGATTCCCCTCCCATGCCAAAAGTAGAAAATATTTTTTTTAATTTTTCTTCCCTTTTCATTTTTCCCCTTTCTTTAAGCCTCATGGAAAAGATCCAAGGGTCTCACACTAGTCATTTACAATGTAAATGTATCTATCTCAGGGCCTTGACTTCATATGTACCTAACAGCACCCCAGTATTTTGACAAGTAAAAGTTTAATTGAGGAGCATAATGAAACTGTTACCACTTAATCCTCTTGGGGGACATAAAGGGAGTAGAACACAGAAAACCCGGGGAAGGCCTGGTTCCTTCACACAAGTGATTGGCATACAAGAAGCATAAATGAAGTATTTGTTACGTAAATAAAAGAACAATTAAATTGCTGAGATAATAAATGTAAGAACAGAATAAAATACAGAAACATTGCAAGAAAGACTAAACCAAGGCAAGATTGAGCCTTTAAAAACCTATAAAATCGACCAACATGGAAGTGAGATAGTTGAGATAGAAGAAGATTTTGTTGGGCAAAATTGGAAAAATGCAACAAAATACTTACAGTATAATACTACTTATATAAATTTAAGAATTACCGAAAGTAAGGAGATTACTGATGGAAGTATTAAGAAAAGGAGTTACAATGGAAACATTTAGGAAGATGACTACACTAGTATACTAGGAAAAGTGGGAAGGGAAGGAAATCCGAATTCAGACACAGAGTCAGGAGCATTAGAACTGTTACCTTTATAACTTGCTGCTGACCATATTGTGTTCATTTTTATGAATATGAACTACAATTTACATTAACATTGCTTTTACTATTTTGTGAATGAATAACTCAAAACCAAAAATATGAAGTAGGTAGGAGGAGGAAAAGGAAGAAAGAAAACTCATAAAATCTTCATTCAAACTATTAGTGGCACGGTGAAATGGAATAGTGAAACAATCCCAAACATTCTCGTTTGTAATGGATTGCATTGCCAATTTAAGTTCTATGACACAATGTATAACGAATTATGTTCAGAAAGTATATTGTGTAGCTGGAGAGATAGTTCAGCACTTAAGACTGCTTACTGGTCTTTCAGAGGACTCAAGTTTGGTTCCCAGCACCCATATCAAGCATCTCACAGCTGCCTGTAACTCCAGCTCCAGAGGAATCTAATGCCCTCTTCTGGACTCCTTGAGCACCTGCACTCACATGTGCACACACACACACACTCACACACACACACACACACACACATGCACACACACACACAACACAAACACACACACAAATAAATTACTAATAATTTCAAAGTATATTGTTAGCAAGTAGTAAGCAAAGATTTTAATTTGATTTTAATTTTAATTTTAACAAGGAACTTAGCACAACTTTAGAATTTATCAAAGTAGCTTTAACTGTGGCATGCAATATATATTGCAAGCATTCTTTATGAATGAGTCTCCTCTATTCACCATCACTTGGCTTTGACAGTGAGAAAGCAACTTCATCAAGAACACTTTGTGTGCAGGGCTGACACCTACCACTCCTAGGAATCACTGCTTCTTTCAATTGTTTTGAAAGTTAGAAGTGGGCACTGGGATGATTGTCAGGGGAAATATGGATGGGCATGTTTTGTTAAGCCTGAGTCATGGCCTGGATAATACAGTTTGCAACTCTTGGCAATGAATAGTTGATGCTGCTTTGATCTTAGGCAAGGTTCATTTCTGCCTTGTGGCACAGGGAATATCACCTCAACGTCTTTTTAATTTTATGCTAATAACAATTGTGATGGTTGGTATTAACAGTCAGCTTGATAAAATCTAGAATCATCCAGGAAATGGGCTCTGAGCATGCCTGTGAGTGATTATGTTGATTACATGTTAATTGAAGTGGGAAGACGCATCTTAATTGTAGGCCATCCCCTGAGCAAAGGATCCTGCACTGTGTAAGTGTAGAGTTTCGGCTGAACAGCGTGCACAAATGCATTGCTTGCAGATTACATTGTTCCAGATTATAGCTGAGATGTGCCCATCTCGCTCATGTTCCTGCAGCTGTGAGTTCCCCACTGTGATAGACCGTAATTTGGGACTATCAGATAAAATAAACTCTTTCCACCTTAAGTTGCTTCTGTCAGATATTTTAACATAACAACAATTATTAAAGATGATTTGAAGTTTGAGTTACAAATGCATGGACTATATTAAGGACAACAATAAAATGTACATTACACACATATATCTATGGATCAAAAATATATAAAATTTTAATGAACTCTCTATAAAACTATTTTATATGAAGTCTCTTTCTGGTTTTAAATGCAAAGAAAGGTCTGTTTGATAGGCATCAATTCTCGCAGTGCCATTTGTCTCCTTTCTGTGTTAATGTGCCATGTAAAGCTAATTAAATGCATGTAATTTAGCAGTCTTAATTCCCCTCTCCTCCCAAAATAGAATAAGAAAGGAAATTGCTGGACTCCAGACTTTGCTCAGAACTGAGACTTGAATAGCAAAACCATATTTCACAGAAAAGCCTAAATTGACTACACAGGTTATAAATACTTGAGTATGGTAGGTACAATGCAGAAACAGACCTATTTTAGCTCATTTGGAAAAAGCGGTCATTCACTCCGCTGAATCTAATGGCCAGAAAGGAGCAAAAGGACTAATTTTGAGCTGTCAACACATATCTAGAGAACAAATATCCTCATTCTTTTCTGTGGCAGAACAGAGCCTACTGAATATCATGGTAGAAAGAGTGTCCAAATGGTCAGAGAGACATAATGGGAGAAAGAAACATAGTTTACAAAAAGCATAGAAGGAAATGTTATGCATATCGTATACATGTTATTAAAGCATATATAATAAAAATGGTTTTTTGAAGATGAGAGCACTCTGAAATTCATCTTTCTTTCATGCCAACTCAAAATTTTAATGTCACCATCTTTAAAGGAGAGAAAAGACAGAGTTAAAATTTTATATTCTTTGGGTAATATTTGCAGAATTGACAGCTTTCCTGGAAATACCGTGTTTCCTCTATTAAAGTCATTTTGAAGACAGTTATTTGCATTTTTACTTAAAGAGAATTGCTAGGTGGAACCCATATCTAATAAAATTTAACAGAGCAGTGAAGACGGAATGTGACAATCTGTGTTTATAGTCAACTTACACAGGCAGTGGAAAGCAAAGAGCTTACCTTTGTGATGGTTTGCACTGGATACAACTTTTCCCCACAAGGTTACGATGAAGATTATTATCAGCAACTTTCCTTTCGTTGCTTTCTGTAAGTATCTCTTACTCATCCTGCAAGTAAAAATGACAATAACAAAATTCCTCAGGATGTGAAATTGCTGCTTTTCCATGATAATTGTACTACATTTAAGCCTTCCATGATACCTTGCTATATTTATCCCCAGAAAATCATATTTCTTTTATTGAAAATGTAGCTCACTTTATACAGCTATGCTTAGTGCTGTTGTTGTTTGAAACAGGGTCTTACTATGTAACCCAGGCTGGTCTTGAACTCATGATCTGCCTAACTCAGACTCCCAAATATGAGCAATACATGTGTGAGTCACCATGCCCAACTATACAAATTGTGAATAAGAAAGAGACATCTTGCTATGTCAACAAAGCATCTTGATAGGAAAAAAGAATCAAGCAAAATCCTGCTTTGGTCATTCTTTATCTGCTTAAAAATGGCCTAAACCAATTTAGAAATATTGTCATTTTCTTGCCCAGATAAACACAGCTTTAACTTATTAACAAAATTTAAGATATAACCATTTGAATAATTTTTAAATAAATGAAATTATCTTACTTTTTTCCTAAAAAGTCTTTCTTCAATGTCAAGTCAAATAGGGAATAAAGTTTAGGCTGACTGGATGGCTCACCTGGTAAAGGGCCTTGCTTCCAAGTTTGACAACCTGCGTTCAATCCCTGAGACCCACAAAGATGAAGGAGAGACCTGACCCCCTCAAGTTGTCTTTTGACCTCCATATATGTACTGTGGCACATAATACTCACACACATACACACACATAAGTAATAAAGAAATGAAAAAATTGAATTGCTTAAGATGACTTCCTGCTCAGAATAAAGTCATTTCAAATTTATTACCATTTGTAGTGGATCTTTTTTAACACAAAATCAAGCCATTGATTTATTTTTTACCATAAATTTAGCAGGTAAATTTTACAATATAGTCAGTTTGGGGTTTTTTAATTTTTTATTGAATTTTTGTACATTTCATATAATAGATCTTAATCAAATTTAGACCCTCCCTTTCCCATCCATGCCCCCTATACCCCTCCAGATTTCATGCATTCTGTCAAATATGTTAAGTCCTATCTGGCCAAGCATTTGTACCCAGATGTCCCTGGGGCAAATTCATCCACTGGAGTCATCTAGTCAGCCTATCTAGAGTCACTCCCTTAAAGATCTACTCTTCCCTCACCCAGCATTAATCAGTTGCCAATAGTTCCTCAGTTAAGGTTGAGGCCTGCCACCCACTTTCCCAGTTCCATGCAGAGTTTTTGTCTGATTGAGTCAGCATGAGTCTTGTGCATCTGCCACCATTGTTACAAGTTCATATGAGCAAGTTCCCAAAAGCATGGAAGACTCAGTTCCCTTGTTCATGCACTAACCCCGGCTCTTACAATCTTTCTGCATCCCCTCTTCTTTTAATATAGGAGTCCATCCAGGGACACACACTCTGTGGTCTCTTTGGTCAGTTGTTATCTTCTGTGTACATCATATGAGAAAGCTTCACTGGTGAGAGTTGAGGGATGTATTAGTATTCCCTGTGCCCCCTGTTTTGCTATGTTCCATAAGCTTTAGATGTTGAGGTTCCACTGTAGACGTGTCACTTAGGGCTGGGTATCCCTCAGACATATATTCTCTGTGTGTGGCCAGTTGTGGAACTCTGTAATAGCCTCCATCTGTTGCAAAAAGAAGCTTCTTTGATGAGTGAATATTAGATTTTACAGCTGGTTGGACCATTGATTTTCTTCCTGAGCAGTTTGCATAGTATCCTCTAGAACTAGGAGAGCTAGTCTTCAGGGAGGAGGCTTCTAGGTCAGTTCCAGCTCCGTTACTTTAAGTCCTGAGTCCAAGTGTGTCTTGTCTTCAGCAATGGGGTATTACTTTCAGGTTCTGAGAGGAAATCAAAGGCTTTGTCAACAGCCTGCGTTATTTTGGGAGTCTCTTGGACTACTGGGACCAACAACTTCAAGGGGATTTTGAAAATCACCTAGTAACATAGCTTCCTCATTGCCAGCTAATCTTGCCAATCCAGCATGCACCGCTCCTTTGGAGACGCAATGTTGTTGGAATCCAACTTACTGGACTTTATCAGAAGTGGGAAAAAAAATAAGAAAACAGAATGAAAAATACAAAATTAACATTTTTCAAAGTGGACTCATAAAACTTGGAGAAAAGGGTAAAATAATGTCTATCTATACTAAAATTCAGCACTTATTTATCCTTCATCTTACACATTATTTCTTTTTTTTTTTTAGAACAAATTTATTCTGAAGAAAATGTCCATCTCCATTTCGTAGCTGATGAAATTTAGAAATTTTCTTAAGATAATATTTTAACGAGAGAGTAGAAATTTAAACCCAGAGCAGCATAATTCTAAGAATCCTTATCTAAGCCACTACAATGGTGGGTGGAAAGAAAAACTAAAATGAAATAGATTCCATGTGCACATATTTATGAGAAAGAGAAAATAAATGTCTGGCCTAATACCTTTCAAATTCAGATCCTATATTGAACTCAGTTTTTGCTGGAGCTACAGACTCTTTCAGCCTCAGTTCTAATGGCATCCTGGATTCCTCCCTGACCTTGCCTGGTTCTTCTTCCCCTTGAAGTCTCTGAATTATCCTTTCCTCCTATTTCTGCCTCTGAAACCTTCTGTCTCCAAAATCATGATCCAATGGGGGTGGGATCAGGGAGAGAAGCTGGGCATACAATTCAGAAAGTACTTTTTCATGGAGAAATGCAGGCAAAAATGGTTCATATATATATTTTAATTTAGATATATGTTAGCATTTATTATCTTGGAAAAGTATATACATTATATGCTGGTGAGGAGAGTTTAGACTCCCTGTCTAGGGGTTTGAGACCATGCTCTGTTGGTTTCTGATTTTGACTGCAGTGGTTAATGTCATCTTGGCAGAATCACCTACAAGACAAACCTCTGAGCATGGTGTGAGAAATTGTCTACAATAGGTCACTTGTGCAGAGATCTGCCTTCACTGTGGATGGCACCATTTCATTGGCTGGGGCCCTGCATTGAACAGAAAGAAAGTAAGCCCAGCAAGAAAATTCATTGCTCTCTGGTTCCTGACTGTGGACGCAATGTGATCTCAAGTGCTTGCTTATGATTTCCTGTTATGGTGGACTGGAACCTCAAACTCTGAGACAAACAAACAGTGCCTTCCTTAAGTTGCCTTTGTCAGATATTTGTTGCAGTAATGAGAAAAGAAATAAATATGACTTTTGTCATATCAAAGATACTGTACAAGGGGAAAGATGTTTGAACAATTCAATTCAATTACTGGATTTAAAATCAAGTTTCTTACTTATTTGCTAAATCGTTGAATAAATTACTTAATAACTCTGTATTTTCATTGACAATAAGGCAAAAATGATAATATTAATAACCAATAGCCATAATAATAATATGCAATATTATTATTGGTATGAAGATTAAATGAAAGAATCCATGTAAAGTTTGTTACCTCACAACAGATAATAATAATGCTCAGTTATGCTGATCATTGATTAGACTGACATTTCCTTAAGTATGTTCTGAAAGGCACCAACTTCAGACAATATTAACACAGTATTAACGAAAAACAGAGGTAAATATATTTGTAAAATTCTGGGTTTAACAAATTTAAACAGACTTTTAAGAGGCATATTGTTAAATATACCTTTTTAGAAGTATTTTCCAGAAACCTCTTCCACAGAACAGCATAGAATATTGCTATCCTTGGAACATCTTTTAGAGAAATATTGATTTCTATAATAATAACCTGACTTAATACTCTCTTAGTGAACCAAGTGTTCAATTTTAATCTTCTATTATCTTTGCTTCTCTTTTTGTGCCTCCTACTCTGTATCCAATCCCACAGTACAACAGAAGGAAGAGCAGAACTCACCTGACAGGAAGAGCTGCTTAGCATAATTCTTTACAATAGCTTTGCCAATACAAACAGCCTGTGCTACAAGGTCAACGTCCCATCATTTTTCCATGCCATTGTACAACCACCAAATAGGATGACAGAATAGACAGCTGTTTAAGATGGTAAGTGGACATACAGAAACAGAAACACCCACAAAGTCACTGAGAAGTCAAAGCAAAGAGAGAAAGGAGAATGCCGGCCAACATCTGAAAGTCTGTAACAATACTATTTTCTCCCTCTCATTCCATCCACACCCCGTCCAGTCAATCAACAATGCTCCCTGAATAGCTCTTATGTGTATGCACTTAACACCTACCCTCTTGCAAATGAGACCACCAAAATTTCTAACTGACCACAGCATCCTATCCAGATTCAATGCCCCACTCTAAAAGCATGACTTTTTACAATTGTATCTGAAGTATTCAGCAAGAGTCTGATTAAATACTGTTGACTGAACATGGTACATTCTCTATGCTGTAGGAGAATAAGCAACTGCAATGAGGAATCCTTGCTTAAAAGCTTCATGTGATTCTCTAGTCTGAGGGGGAAATACCATAGCCTCAGCAGAGTCCACATCTCTGTCGCTAATCTTTTTTTCATTTTAATATTGTATGTATGAGTGTATTACCTGCATGTGTGTAAGTGCACCCATGTCATGCAATGCCTGTGGAGGTCAGAAGAAGTTCTCAGATCCCCTGGAACTGGAGTTACAGATGGTTGTTAGCCACCATGTGGGTGCTGGGAATCGAACCCAGGTCCTCCGCAAAAGCAGGCAGTACTCTTAACTGTGAGCCATTTCTCCAATCCCTCTGTCTATAATCTTTCTCTTCACCTCTCTACCTACACATATTCATAGTCTAAGTTTTAACTCTACAAAATTCTCTCACTGGCCTCCATCTAAATATCACCTTCATATTACATGAAACCTATCAGCCATTCACATCAACTCTCCCTATGCCTCAAAATGGCTAACTTCCATTCATTGCTCATCTTGCCGGTTAGAATTCCTCCTATAGGATTTGTTCAAGACCATGCTGAGCATCCTTCTTCTACAGTGGCCACTCACTAAGCTGTATTAAAGCCATTTACTTATCTCCATCCACTCCCATA